TTAGCGGTTCTGCACAGTTTTTTCTGAATCAGGTTCTGGTTCATGTCCATGTGTGACTACTACTTAACTCTTCACGCTAAGCCAAAAGTAGAAAACCCAAAAGCTGGCGACTCACCCTGTTTAATGTGTTCTTTCACTGAATCAAGCTGATGATCTGATGCAATTTCTCCAATCACAATAAGCATATAGTATCGCGTCTGGCAGAAAGGAGGACCGACGCACCGCTGCTGTCCAAGGTGCTGAATAATCTCGCGCTTCTCCTGAAGACCCGCAGCAGCATCTCCTAGCGGCATTTCCATGGTAACCGAATCTGGAGCTGAGGGACTTCGTGCATTTCCATGACAACTGCAGCCACCAGCCCACTCCGTAAGGCGGGATCAGAGGAGGAGAGGAAAGAGTGGCTCGGAAAAGACGTCCTGCTATTGGTTATCGGCTGCGACAAACGCTTACATTTCATCATGACAACTTTGCCATCAATAATGTATTCTGAGATACCTGGGGGAAATAGTTGTTTACGCTCCATCTGCAAATGACTTTTCATTATGCCAAGAAAATTGGATGCAATCCAGAATAAATTCAGTCTCAAAAACTGATGTTTTCTCTTCTTACTGAAAGACAACCACAGCCAAGATTTTCTCTTATTGTAATCATAGGCCTATATTTGTGATCAATAATCAATTAATCTTTTTATCTTATTTTTGATGACACACAAATATCTTGGATAGTCTTTGTTCCTTTGTTGTACTAATTTTAAGCAGATGCACTAAAGATGCCAGTTCTCTCTACTGTAACTCAATGTCAGTGTGGGAAGATTAAGCTTAAGATTTGGGTTTTGTAAATCACATAACCACGACATGTGATTCAAAGATTATTCTCCATAAAAATGAATAATGACCAATATATGAGATTTACTGATATGTGCAATGTCTTATGCACTGCAGATGAAATATGATCTTTAAGCACATGGTTTGGGTCTGATCATGGTTTGGGTTAGTATGACTTTTACTGGCTGATATCTGACATATAACATTTCCACAGTGTCATGAGTCAGCATCCTTTAAGAGGTTTACTGCAAAGTCTTTATTGCAGCTACTGAACATGAAGAGAAGGATTGTATACTGCCCTCTGCTGTTTACTTCAAAGCACAAACAATATTTTACATTATATTGCCTACATGTCTTGTCTCTGTTATTTACCATTTTACTCTAAAAGTTAAATGATTTTCTGCTCTGGAAAATCTTCTCAGCTGGCTGTTAGATTACTTACAACATGCTCGATATTTTGTACATTTGGTACATTTCTAGTCTCATCTGATATTTCCTATTTTTTAGATGGCTCACTGCTTACTGGAAATTCTCACAAGTACTTTTGTATAATGTATTTTTCTTACCACACTCATATACTGGTAAGTTTTAAGTAGTGGTCTTTTACTATCGATTACCTTACTCCACTGAAGACTTTGAACTCTGCAGCTCCTTCAAGGTTTGTATTTCGTTTGAAAGACTTCTTGTCCATGGTTACATGTTTAGTTGTGTGTGTCACATTTGTATTTTTATTTATTTATTTTGGTTGACTGCTATGTAGTCATTATGTCAGCTGCCACCCAGAATGGCCACTTCTGATCACCCTCCTACTTCTTTATTATGCAGTGACCAGGTTTTTTTGCTCCTCATTAATAGCCCTAATGCGTTGACAGAGTTACCGCAGAGGTACCCTGTAGCCTACCTGTTTGCTTTGAAAATTGAATGACCCTTAATGTCATATTTTTTAAATCATCATTTCATTTTTTTCTACATGCTACTTACAGGCTAATCTGAACATAATTTGGGCATTCTCATCTACATGTCATTGTAAGTGTCAGTAAGGTGATCTGTGTGTTGCAATATTTGGCAAGAGTCAAATGCATTTGTGGGGAAAAAGAGCTTTATCCATTTAATGTAATAGCACGGTTAGTAGCCTAGGCTATTTTTGTGAATCTGGAGCTTTCAAATGAAATCTAACAGACGCGTTTATATACATAAATCAGTGGAAAAAAAACACACGTATCATTTGACTCTTTAGTATTCCTATGTGTTTTGAAATGTGTTCCTATTAATTACCATGCGCGCGCATATCAAAAGATGCCAAGGCACCGTCAAGTGACACCCATGTATCCCACACACACCCCATCATCTTCATAGAGATAATCGACTCGCTCAACCTTTCCT